TGAGAATCCCCTGTGATTCTGCCCCTACCAAGCCTCTCTTGTGAGGGAGACGGATGAGGTTTATCTTTGGATGCGGCTGCTTTCAATCAACACGGAGGGAGCCGGGTTTGGGTTCCGGGTGTTGCATGGGTGTGACAACCTCCCCCTTCCTTCCTGAGAATCCCCTGTGATTCTGCCCCTACCAAGCCTCTCCTATGAGGGAGACGGATGAGGTTTATCTTTGGATGCGGCTGCTTTCAATCAACACGGAGGGAGCCAGGTTTGGGTTCTGGGTGTTGCATGGGTGTGACAACCTCCCCCTTCCTTCCTGAGAATCCCCTGTGATTCTGCCCCTACCAAGCCTCTCCTGTGAGGGAGAAGGGTGAGGTTTGTCTTCGGATGTGGCTGCTTTCAATCAACACGGAGGGAGCTGGGTTTGGGTTCTGGGTGTGGCATGAATGGACTGTTGCAGTTTGTAAAGCCGAGTGGCTGTGTGAACCGAGCCTCGCCATGCCTTCCGCTCTGTCTACTTTGGTCTTCCTTCGGCACCCGGGCACAGGCGAGAAACACGGTTGGCTGTGACCTCCTCTTGACCCATCGCTTGTCTTCTCTGTTTCGGCAGAACTCGAGAGGCCTTTGTTGCCCGCCTCCTCCCCGTGGCCCAGCACTGCCCGGCTCCCTGCCACCCCCTCCCCCATCACCACCCGTCGGGCACCGGTCACCAAGCTTCCTCCGGTGGGGGTCTCCAGGCCCCCACTTGTCCCCGGATTGCGCCCTTGCCAGAAAGAAGAGGCCACGTGCTCCAACGGGCAATGCATCCGCCGGGACTTCCTGTGCGACGGCGAGCGGGACTGCACGGATGGCAGCGACGAATTGCATTGCGGTGAGTCCCGGGGGATGAGGGTGTGCTACGCGTGTAGGTGTGGCAGAGAGAGAGAGAACCGCAACGGTAACTCTCCTTTTGTCGCCCCCCTCCAAGGCACTCCCTCGCCCTGCGAACCCAATGAGTTCCGATGCCGGAACGGGCACTGCGCCCTCACGCTTTGGCGCTGCGACGGGGACAATGACTGCGCCGACGGCTCTGACGAGCTGGACTGCCGTGAGGATCGAGAGCTCGGGGGGGGGGGGGGGGGGGGGGGGGGGGGGGGGGGAGACCCCCCCCCCCTTCTGCAAATCTTGAGTCCACTGGGGCCGGGTTCGACGTAGGGCTAAAGCAAGGCGAATGCTCCAAACGAGGGAATCACAGAATTGGGTTTTAGTTTGGGAAAGATTCGGCTTCGAATTAAGGCCTCGCGGGGCAGCCGGTAAAAGACTCCTGATATAGAAAGTGTTGATCCTCCCCCCTTCTTTCCTCCCTGCAGCCACCAAGGGCCCCGGAGACACCTGTGGCCCCGACCAATTTGTCTGCCTCTCCAGCCACACCTGCATCCCGGCCAGCTATCAGTGTGACGAAGAGGCCGACTGCCAGGACCGCTCGGACGAGATCGGCTGCAGTGAGTGGAAGGGTGCTGGCAAGGGCCAGG